TCAGCCTAGAAACAGATCGGATAATATAAATGATTTATTGTTCAGATATAAGAGCACTTTGTGTGTGTGTGTGTGTGTGTGTGTGTGTGTGTGTGTGTGTGTGTGTGTATGTTTGAGACAGGGTCTTCTTGTAGTCCCAGCTGGCCTAGAACTTGCTATGTGAACCAGGCTGGTCTCCAACTCTCAGAGATTTGCCTGCCTCTGACTCCCAAGTACTGGGATTAAAGGTCTGTGCCACCGTGCCCAGCCTCTAAGAACACTTTTTAATTCTCTCACTTCACAATCTATCTTATTTACTACAGAGGAGTGTTTAGTTGGAAAATATTAAAAATTCTAAGGTAAGGAAGCCTCAAACTCACTATCAGATCTGAGGGGAAATGGGGTGGCACACATGGATCACCAGTGTCTTGATGGCTCTTTAACCAGGGACTGGCAGATTTTTCTCCAGCTCAGAAGGTTGGGACATATCCTCAGTCAATTGCATCACTGGAGTGGACCAGGCACTGGCAGCCAAGCCAGAAAGGAGGAGATAAGTTTCTTGTCTTCAAAGACTCACAGTTTGGTTGTGCAAACAGACACCAGCAATATCTCGATGACAAAATGTACTCCAACAGATGGTAAAGAAGGATTTGTGTGTATTTCTCAGAGAAGGTGTACGAACAGGTGTTCACAGGTGAGATCAGGAATGGTAAAGTGGGCTTTCTAGGAAGAATGGACTGATGCATTACATTTTGACATCATGATCACATGGCTAAACAGGCACCTAAAATGTGTCAATAGAAATTATGCTGTTATGGAAATTACTGTAGGGCATCCACTTCTTTGAGAAAATTATGTATATACTGAATAAATGCCTTTTATTTAGTAAAGGGGGAGGGGTGAAATAAATAAGTTGTGGATTTACTTCCTTTAGCTGTAACAAACACTGAGGTAAATACACTTTTAGGAGAAAGGTTTATTTTGTCTCACTTGTTGGAGGCTCCAGCTTGTGGTCCATTACCTCTGCTGCTTTGTGCCTAGAAACACCTGGTGGAAAAAAACAAGGAATCTCCTGGGCAGAATGGGGCAAAAGAGAAAGAGGAAGAAACTAGGGTCCCACAATCCCCTGTAGATCCCATTTCTTAGTGGTTCTTCTACCTCCCAGTGGGACCGAGCTGCCGAACATTGCAGGTACATTACAGATTCCCTCATAGCAAGTGGAAAGAAAAAGGAATGGAATCTGGACTTTATTCTGCTTGTTAAATGTCTGCTTTTCAAATCTTAAAAATAAAACACACCCGTAGCTATTGTTTCTATTCATTTCAGAGCTTCTAAATGCTGCTACCTTACAGAGTCTCAGTGAAAGGAAGGGAGATGGGGAGGGGGATGAAGATACATGTGATTTTTTTCAGGAATGCCAACCATGTGTAGTTGGAATCCCACTCTAATGATTTTCATTTATTTTTGCAAGGTGACACTGGTCTGCACTGTTTCAAAGGGAGCTAGGGAGGACAAACGGTTTTAAGGTAGCACAAAGGAAGCAGCTTAATGCCTCCCCGAGGAGAAGTGGAAGAGGGCCATACTGGGGGAGAGGATAACAATAGCAATGGTAATAATGACAAGCAGCATGTAGGGTGGGGTGGGAAAGAGTTCTGATAACTGAGCATGAGTTGGGAGGAAAAGGTAGAAGGAACCTTTGCAGGTGTTCCAGTAGGATTTGCAAGTGATACAAAATAAGGACAACTGGGAATGGGAAGCAGGGTACAGGAACATATCCCACATCCAGGGAGCCTCCAGGAATAATGGAGAACACACGTTGCATCATCAAGATCACTGAGCCCCGAATCCTCTGGGGAAGTCATGCCTTTTTGTACTAGATGTTTTGAAGCTGAGTTGGGGTAGGGGCTGTTGGGGAGAATGAAGGAGGAGGGGAAAATCACTGAGAAAAATTAAGCAGTCTGAAAGGAGGGTAAGATTATGAAGATAAATGTTTACCTCTCAGCTGCTTTGTATGTCTTCAAATGAAACTGTTTTTGAATAGTGTTGCATCCGTACTGCAAGAATGTGGGCATTGTGAACAAATTGACTGTCTCAGATGATTTGACACATTTTGATTTCTACTTAGGAAAATATCTGTTAATCCTATTAGAAAGAGAAGGAGAAGGTCCTGAACAGAAAGGCAGAAGATCAGACTCGCTCCCATCTTGCACACACTCTCCTAATGCCAATGCATTAAAATCTCTGTTATTTCCAAAAGACCTCTTGCCTCATCACTGACCTGCTTGGAACTCCATCAAAATCCCTTCTCCACCTCCTTATCCTTTGCCTGGCACTGGCAAAAATCAAGATAAGCTGGATGGCTCCCCTCTCTGTGGCAAACTACAGGAGAAAATAAGTCTTTGTATGCTTTTCTCATAACACAATTTTCCTTCTTTTCTTCCCTCCTCCTCTCTTTCTTCCTTCTCTGCCCTCCCTTCCTTCCTTGCTTCTGTGCTTTGCTGTTTGCTAATATCCAACTCCAGACCATTCTTTGTGTTTGGCAGAGTAAGCAGTTTTATTGTTTGGTAACTCCAGGGGGGATATAGTGTCTATGATGTTGTCTAGGCTCAACCTCCCCTGGGAAGGTTAACCACCTCCACCCTACTCTCAAAGGGGAAAGGATGCCAAGCGCACACCCACGTACCAGCTACCCTCTCTCTATAGAGAAAGCAGATCTGTTGCCGCCCACAAGTACTTTTTATCCTCATATGTTGTAATTCAAGTTTGAGGACCAGGGGAAGTTCTCTAGAATCTGAATCTAAAGAGTGCAGATAAGGAGTAAGGAAAAAGAAACATCCCACCCCCATCCCTTCCCCTTCTAACTGCTTTCTGGAAAATGTTCTTGGAGTAGCACCTAAGCCTGATCAAAAGGTCTGTTCATCCGTCTCAAGAGCCAGTCCTGGAGCCCAGCATGCACCTAAAAATATGCACTCACAGTCCTAGAAAATTGTACTCATTAAACTCCACCGACAGGTCCTCACCCAGATTCTGCTCCATGCCAAAGCAGCGTGCTGCTGTTAATCCTCCTTTATAGATTAGGCAGTAAAATAAAGAGGGTGGGGCTGAAGTGCAGGGGAAGTCTGCACACTTGTTTGGAGAAGAAGAAAAGGAAAAGCACAGGGATTTCTTGTCCCTCCTTCATGTTCTGAGTTGCCAGGACTGACCAGACATCACTGAGAAACACAGGGCCTTTTAGCGTTCACAGTGTTTTCACTTCCACAGGGTAAGTGCTCCATGCAAAATGGGAATTTAGAGGCAAGATCAAACAAATATCTTTCAAACAGTGGCGCGTTGTTATTTCTGTATTCCTCCTCTCTTTGTGTGTTAAGGAGGAAATAATAATAATAATCCCAGCTGATGTTATTGAGCATTTACTGTGTCAAGCAGGTAGTGTGTTACTTATGCAATGCCATTTCCTGCTCTAAGAGCCCCATGAGGTAGGTGCAGAGCAGATGACACTGCAGTCTAGAAAGGTGAAGTACCTTGAGCAAAGTGGCAAGGCTGGGATTTGAACCAGAAGCTTTCGAAAACCTCACTTTTAACATCTATTCCGTGCACAACCTCTCTAAACAGTTCCCTTAGAAGTATGTTTTGCGTTTTTCATTTAAGATTTTAGTGACTGTTCCTTAATAATAGTTCTGCTATTATCTTAATCTTTACAATTTTCTGCAATCAAATCCCAGAGTTTCCTAGAGACAGGGACTACGTCTCCCTTACCTTTGAGTCCCCCGCAGCTCTTAAAACAAAAACCTCCTACCCAGAATGGAAGCTAACAATTATTTGTTGAAATGCACTTTACATTATCTCTGTATCTAAATAGAGCCCATCTAAACAAGTCCACTTCCCCAACACTGGGGTTTTCCTCTCTTCAGCCACCCCTACTTGTTTTGTTTTCCAAAGGTTGATTTTGAACTGGAGGGACATTGCAGTTGTCTTGTCACTTAGCGTGATTTGAAAGTGAGAGTCTGTGTAGTGCCTTTGCCTGCCCTCAGCAATCAGGCCTCACACTCACGAGGCTCTGATTGTAGGAGTTGCCTTATTTGCATTGATGAGGATGAGCCAGCTGCTAGAGCATACAGAACTGCACCTGACACAATCACCGAGTTCAGGATTAGCGCAGGGAATCAGGAATCCACTGAGCTGCATGGCAATCTCAGCCCCCACATTAGAGTCACTCATGCAAAATGACCCAAATTTGCAATGAGCACAATTAACAATCCAAAGATGTGTGTTAATTTGTGGCCTAATATTTTCTACATTTCCCTAAATTAAAAAAAATAAATACATGCTTTTCTCGATGAGTCTGGGCATGTAAACAATTCAGGAGACAAGAGGTTTGTAGAAAATGCGCAAACCCCAGAAAACATAGATTTTTTCTGAGCAACTGGCCACTCGGCCAAAGTTTGACATCACACAGAGTAAGAGCTTTGTAGTATCATTCCCCTTTTTGAATCAGTAGATCACAACTGTGTATGAGGATAAAATAATAAAACTAACAATGGCTATCTCAAAAAGAAAAGAACAACTTAAACTTTAAAAAAGGATTTGAGATTGTATATCAGGTATTAATATTTTTGAGGCTGGGTTTGGATTACATATGACCACAGATATAGTCAGTTATTTCACAATGTCCTGAGAGTACAAGAGATAGTGCAGAATTTTTATTAAAAGGAGTTTCTAAATCAAATAGAACATTCTCAAACCCTGGCATGTGTTTCCATGTGTTCACAGTCTATAGGTATTGAAATTCTCACCTATACTTAAGGGGGGAAAAAAAAAAAAACACAACATTTTGCAAAAAACTTGAATAAATGATCATTCCAAGCAAAAGCATGCAGTTCAAAAGCTAAACCTCCCATTGGAGAACAGAAAATTTAATGAGCTTTTAATGGAATGCAATGCTCAGAGTAGTAAATTATTTGTTAGTTGACGATGCAATCAGCATGCTGATTAAGGTTGCTTGGTTTTTTACTAAACATTAACTGAATGAAAACGGGTAGTCCTTGTTCTGCTTGGGGGGCTTTAAGGAAGCAAATGGACTTTCAGAACAGAGACTGTCAATAAAGGTGAGTGCACTCCAGGTGTCATTTGAATATGATGATAAAATACTAGTGATAAATATTTAAAAGCATTTTAAATCCACAATGTTCGCCTAGTGTATTGTGGACTCTGTTTAAAGAAACAGTAGGCCTTAGCAGACTGAACAACGACCCCTCTATCTCTCTCTAGAAAGAAATATCTAGATCTGCTTTCTTTTATTGCAAGAGAAAAAAGGGGGTGGGTGTGCTTTGAAAATATAAACCAGCATGGACTCAGGGACCAGGAACTGCTTGGGAGTTTGGAATGTAAACCTAGAGAGAGAGAGAGAGAGAGAGAGAGAGAGAGAGAGAGAGAGAGAGAGAGAGATCAAAACAAAGAAAAAATATTCCTGCAGCAAATAGAAGAAAACATCTGTTTGTCTGGATAGATTGAGATAAAAATTTAATTAAGCAGCTTCGATTTTCTGATGTTTTAAAAATAATTGCTATTAGAATATTTATAATTTTTAAATTTGTAAATGATGGCATTCTGAAGACATAGAGCATTGTGATGTTAGCGTTATATTCTACTTTAATAGAGCTGAAGGACTGTAAAAGAAAAAGCACAAAAACTGGAAATAAATTATGTAATTTTCTGGCTAAGATTATTAACAAAGAATTTGTTAAAAATATATATATGCAGTATATGTTAGTCAGTCTGTGCATTTGTCATAAATTATTGTTTAAGAAAGATGTTTTGTGTTATTAAATCTGTTTATATTATTAGATTGATTTTTTTCTCTGAAATGAGACGTTTTTGTTTGTTTTTCCTCCTGCCCCTTGAAAAATCGTGGGTTTATAGGTTAATTTTCTTTGAATAGCTACAAAGTTCTTTTTCTATAAATCCCAATTATTTTTATTATTGGTGATTCTCTGGCAATGGTCAGGTACCCTTAAAATCCGATAAATAACTACCTCTCACTTTTAACTATTCCTGTTTATGACCCAAGAGGTTAAAAGCCTTTGACTGGCATTTGACTTCTGACCTCATATAAATGTTATCTTATCAGTTCCTGCTTGTTAACTTGTATTGAGTGCTTGTCCCTGATGGCTTTTAGATAAAGGGTTGTGGTGTTTTTTTTTTTTTTTTTAAATATATTTCCTATAGTAACTAAACCATTTGTATTGTTCTATGCCTGGTGTACTCTAGTCTACACAGCTGCTACAAATCTACTAGAAAACACCAAATATATTTTTATTTATTCTCTACACTATTTTAAATTTGCCCTTATGGGTGGGATTTTATGATTAAAATATATTTATTATAATTAATGGTAGTAATTCTTACTGATTTTAATCCCTTAGCATATTTGTCAGGAAGCTGGTTAGCTTCTTATTTTCTCTTTTTTAAAAAAAATACAAAAAAAAAAATTAGCTTTGCATTTTGTACCAGCGTGAGATGAGTTAGAGAGATAATTTATGGAAATCTTGTCTCCCCAGACTTCAAAAGTCTGCCTAATGAGAGAGTCATCAGTAAGATATATCTTTTTTAAAAAATCAAACTCAGGCCATCAACAGTGCATTTGCTAACCTTTGGGGAAGAAGGTGGTAGCCTAGCAGTCTCCTTTGCCCTTCTGTCCTGAGAATTAAGAAAGATTTGGGCCTTTTATTTCTTTTGCAGTGGTATGTGTTGTTCACACATTCAACTGTGTATGTGTGTGAGTCTAGTCACTATGCACAAACCTAAATGCATTTGAATGCTTGCATTTTAATCTCTCTCCATGGCATCAGGAGGGTACTGTAGGCAGATGTTGGTGCCTCAGAGGCTGCTTCATTTGCAAATGACCTACAATGTGGTTTCTAAACAAAATATTACATTAATTTCTACATGGAGAACAGGCAGTAAGGAGGGGAAAGAAGGAAGAGGCAGCCATCTTGGAGTCGTTCTGCCTTTTAGCTTCATTCTTCCTCCTGCTAAGGCTCAGTAGTTGGAATATTATCTTTATTTTTAATTGGCCCTCAGCATAAAGCAAGAGGCATATTCAAGAGATCTTTGTATTTCTGTTTGGAGTAGAAAGAAAGTTGTAATCTCTTTGGATTTTAAATAATAACTGAGAATATAGACAAGCACACCTATTTATTATTCTCTATCCATCTAAATAAATGTACATATAAACGAAGCATATGCCACAGCGGTAAGAGACCTGTACAAAACCTGTTAAGGGAAACAAATATCTATTTGGACCATTCATTTGCTGCTAGCTAAAGGATTGATATGTCAGGAAAGTTATCTGCCCCTCCTCCTCCCCCATTCTGTCTTTTCTCCACAAACACACTCTCACATGCATGTACACAAACACACATTCAGACACCCCACCATGGTAAAATGGCAATTTCAAAAACTTTTTTTGCAAACAAAAATTCCCTTTCTCTTCGATGGTAGATATTTAGGGAAGAGTAAACAAAACAAGCAGCTTTCTAGATTTTTTTAATTCATTTTATTCTCTGTGTGTGGACAGCTGCTGGGCTCTGGATTGTCCCTGCACTGCTTCCATCCTGCTCAGATTCGGGCAAAACACAGGTTTGATGTAATTTGTCCCAACTTTTCATTTCAACCATTGCTTTTCTTAAAGTGCCCAGAGTTTAAAGTCTGCAAAAGAAAAAGAAAAAGAAAAACCACGGCAGGGGGAAAAACAAACCAACCCCCAAACTGGTGCTGGTATTCACTGCATTGACACATTCTCAAATGTTTTCTCTGCAGTTATAACACAAAAGCGCTTTCTTCCCTGTTTTGATGTGTTAAAGACAGAAAGAGAGAGGATACTTGGATGTGGTAAAATAAGAATTTGGAAGGCACAGGGCAAGTATTTCTCCTTTGAATGCCCAGTATGTGTCAGTAGAAGGTAGACACTGCACAGTTTAATATTAATTAAATTTCTTTGAATATGAATGGGATAAAAAGTTTAGTTCAAGCACTCTATTGCACACCCACTGAACTTGCAGTTATCAGTGTTGTGTTGCTTTGTGCATTTAGAAGTGAGTCCATAGTCAGTCACTCCACTATCTCTGAAACCAGGAGAACAAGGTTGCTAAGGCTCTCCGAAAGGGGTGTTAGCAGGGCAGTAACAAATTATTATCAAATTCTGCTATTTGACAGACGAAACTCTAAACTTTTATTCCTTTAATGTCAGTAATCAGAACTAATTTTCCCAAGTAATATTTTCTGTAGAATGTTTTATTGAAATAAATAAGGATTTGAGCAATAAATAGCAATGTGGTTCCTGAACACTTGTGCTCTACTGATCGAATTCTTTGAGTTAAATCCCAGAGTCCTTTTCAACTGGGCTTTACATCCTGATTTTTTTTTTTAAATAACAAAGATTTAAACATATAAGCTGGTGAAAGTTACAGAACCATTTTCACTGCTATGGAGTTCATGTTTTAATGTATGGTCCTAAGTCTCGGAATACTTTAGGAAGAACATAGTGTTTGCTTTAACTAGTTTCTATACATACCAGTGTAAGAGTTTCAAATTGTAGTTAGAGGAACAAGAAGATGAAGGGAAACCAAGGCCTTCAGTTCTTCTACAAGGTTAGCACTCCAGCTTTGTAAAGTTATCTGAGAGAGTACTCAATTTACTGTTCGTGTGTTCATGTTTGCAAGCTTACTGTAAGAATATATTAAGAAATATGCTTCATTTAACTTTTTTCTCTACTCCTTGTCTCAAAAATCAAGCTTGTTCTGTTTGCTGAAGGCAGAGGCTTTTATGATGTTATGGACCTTTTTATGTTTCAACAAAAAAGTTGAGAACATTGAGAAAGAAACACTAAAATGCTAGGACCCAGGTTAGTGCTGTCACGCCTTTGTGAGGATGGTGCATGTAGGCTCCCACTGCGCCTTGGTCTCTGTCCTCTTTTTTTTCTTTTCTTCATTTCTGTGAATTGGTCAGGTCCTTCCTACTAGAAAGCTTGATTGGCCACACTCTCCCAGGTAGATTCTCATTCTCACTCCCAGAGCTTGTTTGGGGTTTGTAATGGGTGTGATTTCCCTTACTTTAAAAGCTTTGTGATTTTGACTCAGCGATCAGGGCCTTTCTCTGGACATGCTCAAAGGGTGTGTTGAAGATCATAAGCCATGTTTGTATTCTTATGGGAAAATGGAAAAATAACATCCATAGGCTTCTGATCTAAGGGCACAGCCTGGACATACACCTTGTCCTCTTCACGGCCTCATCGGCCTTAAAGAATGAATATATTCATCCCCAAAGTTGCTGCTTCAAAGTGACCAGTCAGATGCTAACAGGTCAGCTGGCCATCCTGTTGGACAGAGGGTCCATAAATCAGAGAAGCGTTGATATGGTTGAAAGAAGGTAGTCCAGCCTGAGGGAAGCCCCGTAAATCTCTCCAGGAGCTTTGTTCCTGGTAGGGGTGGGGGTGAGAGTTGGGGTAGCTGGGGCTGTGGGCTGTTACTAATGCCCTGGCCCTCCTGCAGTGGGTGCTAACTTCTTGTGCATGAGAGCTGCCGCCACCCTTCCCAAACATCGGCTGCGTGGAAAAGTCAAGCAGGCTGAGCCCTGATTTTCATTTAATAGTCAAAACCAAGATGCATTTGGGCTATGATGATAGGACAGCTCTCTTGAAAAGATTATTTGAACTACAAAGGCATTCATTTAGGGTTAGCAATGTTGCAAAAGGGCCTGCTAGAAATTAGCAGCCTGTCCTGGTATTTGGAGAGCAAGAGTGACAACTTATTGGAAGTTCTCAAGGAATCATTTATATTTCACACTCCACTAGGCAGCTGATTTGAGATTGTCTGTTAGCATAACAAAGGCTCTGAGCCTGTGAACTTCAGAAACCTTTCGACCTCTTAGCTGCTGGCATGAATAGCCCCCAGTCCTGCCTATAGAGATCTCCCAAAGCTCCCCTGTTCGTGGCTAAATTGTTAATCAGGGTAATTTAATATAGTTTTCAATATGCCTCATCTCTTATTGGGAAAGGTATTCACAGCTTCCCTACCCCTGAAAAAAAAGTTCTTTTATTCAAGTGTGA